TTTTTTCTGTTCAGAGGAGTTCTTCCCTTGCCTTCCTTTGAGGTTGAGAGAGTGTCTTACCCAAGGTCACCAGTGGGTTTCCATGGATGAGTCTGGATTTGAACCCTGTTCTCCCAGTGTCCTAGTCCAACACTCAAACCACTACACCACACTCGTTCTCCATATTTAGGCTACTCAGCTTTAAATACATGAGGAGATTCATTGCTTCCTTAGAGTGATCCACTGCAACTACTTCTAGTCATGTCATACTTCTGTAATCCAGATGCTACCACAGATGAGTAATAGCAAAATGGGTTGGACTGAAAATCAGAGTTGAAATGTGCTGTCATGTAAAGTGCTTGGTATTTCATTTGCACACTTTTGTTCAGAGGTCCTCAAGAAGTAGTCTGTTAACTTCCAAAAGCCTAAAGCAGCATGATGAATTACATGAGGAGTGGTGAGCCTTTGGCCATCCAGATGTTTTAGACCACTCCTTCTCAGGCCATCTGAAATGGGAGAAGGCCAGTTATTTTTTCCAACATGCCTGGGACCAACATCATATTTATGCCCACAGGATACAATCATTTCTTTCTTTTCTGGAAACTTGCCAGGGAATGGCAGCTCAAGGACCTGCACCAATCCAGGGACCATCATTCTGAGTAGTTTTAGGCTAGGCTTTCCACAGTCCCAAGGGTTTTGACTGGATAGCCCTTGTGGTCTCTTCCAACTCTATGATTCTACCTCTATCCATCCTGGCTGAAGTTGATGGGAATTGTAAATCAAAATATCTGGAGGAGCAAATGTTCTCTGCTACTGTTTCACATCAATGTCATACCTGTGTCTTCTTCAGCAACCAATTCCTTGGAGGGGGGAAATGCCCAATGATTTTTATTGTTTATTGTGTGTTAAATAAACACCCCATTGTCTTTTGCCCAAGAAGACAAATGCCAAAGAGAAAGGCTGTGTGTGTATGTGTATGTGTGTTTTTAATTAATGTGAGAGCTTTCTAACAGATTTCAGTGAATTCTGATCTCATTGCAAGAAGTAATCACATGCTTGTTCCAGATACAGTGATATAAGTGTCCAGTGTTTGCAGATTCTACATTTTCCCCTTCAAGCCATTCTTACTTAAATAAGAATATATGTAATCTGTTTGAATTGGGGAAGACAAACAACTGCTGCTGGATAACATAATGAGTTGTTTCATTTAACCACTAATTGCTGCAAATAGTGTAGTAAATGGCTTGCTTTGCATAAAACAAACAGCATATTTAAGAATGCCTTCTAGAAGGCATTGCTTAGATTTATCTATTTGAGCCTAACAAATTTTGAATGAGATGCCTAGCTCTGAATGCAAATTGCATACTGTGTGTTGCTTTGCTAACTTTTTTTTGTTTTCACTGCTCACTGGTTTGTGTAGATTGTATGGTTTTATGGGTGTTTTATTGGTGTGTCCCTTCTAAAGTTTTAAGCTTTAAATTAATATGACATGTTGCTTTGAAATTAAAACAAAGATGTATGTTCCTAAAGAAAACAAAGGAAGACATTCACCGTGATGGACTGGAATGATGATGCATGGCAGTAGGGACCCAATGGCTTACTGGTTAAGCAGGTTAGGTAAGGAGAAGCTGGGGCCCATTCACAGCACAAAATTATAGTATAACTATATTCCACCTCATTTGCTATGCAACATCCTATGGAAACTTGGGGTTTGTAATTTGGAGAGGCGCTAGAGCTCTCTGGCAGAAAATTCCCTTTCCTCAACTCCAGATCCCAGGATTCCATAAAATGAACCATCACAGTTAGAGTGGAATCACCGCATTAGAACGGTGTAGTGTGAATGAGCTACTGGTTTTCATGGACACTCATGTGAGCATTAACCCCCTCCCTCCAGTCCCTGTTATTTTTGAAGGAACTGTTTAGAAAGCATCACCATGTGCTTGTATTCCTGACTAGGCAATATCACCCATGTCTGTGCCAAGTCCTTCAATCACTATGGCTTATTTGTCCTCACTGATTTCAGCACATAGCGGCATCTGGGTCTATGATATCATGATGCCATTGACATATGAATCCTGGTTTGCTGGGACTACTTTCTGTGAAGATGGAACCTAACGCTAGAGATGTGAAGGCCCAGGAGAGGAGGGAAAACTAGATAAATCTGGGAGAAAAACACCTCCCTCATGGCTTTCCCCTCAAGCCTTTTTTCCCCTGGGGCAATAAATAAATAAATAAATAAGAATAAAAATAAATAGAAATGGAATATTTTGTTTTGGAATGATGAATGAAATGTGTAAGATAAAGTTTTCACATCTTTACTACCCTCAGATCATTTCTATACACGATGTCAGAGGAAGACTTTTATGGAAGACTACAATTTCTGGCCTTGGTTTCCTTTACCCAGTTCTTTTTAGGGAATGAGTACATTATTTCTGTAGGGAGACACCATGGAGACAAAAATAATTTTCTCTTACTCATGTTAATGCTTTCTTCTGTTTTTATAGGGGTATTTTTCCTGCTCCTCAAACTATAGAGGTTCCTTTTAGTTCAAGTGTTCTGTACAGTTCAAGACCTTGTCCCTCCTTTTGTAATAAAAAGTATTTTTTTTTTAAAAAAAAAAGAAAAGTTAGAATTGGTTTTTATATTCTAATCTAAATAAACTATCATAAGAATGCTGTTGGGGTGTTATGTCTTACTTGGATTTATGTCTGCAGGAAATAGAATTGTGTAATTGAACGTTATCACACGTGAGCCAGAAAGCGATAATAAAGTGGAAATGAGGCATTCCGAAAATAAACCGAAAAAAACCCTTGATTCCGCAAATGGCTTTCACATGTGACTACCTTAATTGCGAAATTACAGTAAGCGCATTTAATATTCACACACAAGTGAGAAAAGCCCGTAAATGTACTAGAAATGATCTTCTTGCACATGCACAGATAGAGGAATGCTCGCTGGAACCATGGGAAAAGCAGGGAAATGCCCCCAAATGCACATTTGCTTTTCACATTATGGTAAATGCGAAATTACTGTAACTTTGCAAATGCATTTCCTCAAAACTACCGAATTTCAAAAGATCTCGGATAACACCAGTTTCTGTCCAGTTTCTGTGTGACGTCGTGTGAAATCGTTAGGCACAAATCCAGTTTCTGTTTGGGATTTGTGTGGATTAACCAGCAGATTTCCCCCGTGTGATAACGTCCATTGTGTAATGTATGTATCCAGTAGAGGACTGCTGTTACATTACTACTTAGCAGAGTGCTATGGGCATCACTGCATGATGTGCACTGGTGCACAATGAACATCAGGGAACAATGCACACCATTGCTCTTGCTGGTGTCTCATTATGCACTTTCACAATTCAGTAAAGGGGTTTCTTTGCACCTCTGCCATGTGCCAGATAATATGTAAGGTTATGTAAAATAGCAGGTCATATAGACTTCCAGCGGATATTTTTAATATGTCAAACAGGATACTTTTATGCCAGACCATGTTATATGTAGTATATTTCATATTCCCAAAGTAACAGTAACTTCTGATCTGTAAAGAGGGCTAATAGTGCATTTTTAATTTTTTCTAAAAAAATCATTTTTTTAATGAAAAAAGAGGCTTTTTTCTATGGGTTCAACAGTTCTGGAAATGTCTACATGGCACAAGGCAAGAGCAGGTGAGAAAAGAAAAATGGCTGTGGCGATGCTCTAACAAAAAAGGCAAAATTTTCCAGAAAAAAATTATATAGAATCTCCCAAGCCTATAGTTCAGGGAACATTCTCACAGAACCTGCCACCCATCAAGGACAATTGGGTGTTGTAGCCCCAAAAGTAAAATTTTCAGTTCTGCTCCAAACAGTGCTTCTTGTTGTTCCAATAGGTGAAATTTGGTATAACCCTGAATCAACTGAGATGTGATCCCTGCCAGATCAAAGCTACAAATATGTAGTATTAACAAATGGGAACTGTTAAACATTAGCAGGGTGATAAAGAATCACCCTTTCCTTCTACTCTGGGCCTTTGCAGACTGCCAGAAATAGTGCAACTTGAGTCCACTTTAAGGGTTAGGGTTAGTGCTAGGGAATCATGGGAATTGTTTTTTTTCTGAGACATTGAGCCTTCTCTGTCAGAGAGCTCTGGTGCCACAATAAAATACAATTCCCATGATTCCCTAGCACTGAGGGCAGTTAAATTGGACTCAATTTGCACTACTTCTGGCAGTCTGTAAAGGCCCTCTGTTTACTTACTGTTCTGTCTCATCCTCAATCAGAGTGAGGAGATGAGGTGATATGGGCTGCATCTGCGCTACAAAATTAATGTAGCTTTATCATAGCTTTATCTGCCATAGCTTGGTGCTGTGGAATCCTGGGATTTGTAGTTTGTTGTCACCAGAAAGCTAAATATCTCACAAAACTACAAATCCCAGAATCCCACAGCATGAAGACATGATGGAAAACATTCAGCAGTGAAATGAGGTTGCACAAGTTGATCCCCCATTATCTCCCAATATGGGTGGGACTTGGGCTCAGAGAAGCAAGTGTGGCTTAAGCACCGGCATCCTTGGAAACTGCTAGGCTCACAAGACCTCTGGCTGTCTGTCTCTTGATGATTGTCTAACAGGAAATCTCTTAAGATACTGACTTACGTTAACGTCTCCATTCCTATAACATTTCTCCTAATCTCTAGCTCTTTCATAAACTTTGCAGACCTCTGCTTCCTTTTATTGTACTTCCTCTATCCTTCGCAACAGAACTGGCAGTGGCAACTTCTAGTCCATCAGCCCATGTGAATTCCCCCTCAGGCCTACAAGCTTCTTCTGCTGTTATCTCTAGCCTGCAATTGGAGATAAGAGGATATCTGAATCCATTTAAACTTTAAATTTGTTGTTGCTGTGTACGTTCAAGTCATTTCCGACTTAGGGTGACCCTAAGGCAAACCTACCAATGGGGTTTTCTTGGCAAGATTTGTTCAGATAGGGTTTGCCATTGCTTCCCCTGAGGCTGAGAGCATGTGACTTACCTAAGGTTTCATGGCCAAACTGGGAATCGAACCCTAGTCTCCAATGTTGTAGTTTAACACACGAACCACTATGCCACACTGGCATTCAATGAAGGAGTTAAATATCCTACATTAAATTCAGCCATGCTTTGTAATAATAATAATAATAATAATAATAATAATAATAATAATAATAATAATAATAATAATTTATTTATATCCTGCCCCTCTGCAGAGCAATCGGGGCAGCTTACAACATTAACATTTCCATACAAATATATTAATACAATCTAAACAGAACATAAAAATAAGGGTTCTTCTTCTTATTCTAGGCCAGATAGTGCTGGGCCTGGTTAGAAAGGTTAGCTTTTTTAGAAAGCTCTTGTACTTGCTCAAACCTACAAACAAATATCCTTGAGACTGACCTAAACCATGAAACAGTTGTCCAAACTGATAAGAATTACAT